ATTAGCTCTTTTAGAGCTTTACCATATTTTGTACCATATTTCGCCCTTCCGGAGACTTATGATTTGATGCATTCTTAGTAAACGCATATTCATAGTGAATATCATCACAAATTATTATCACGAGTACATAATTTAGTTACTTCAAGTAACCAAACATAAGCTCTTCGGAAGCTTTTTCTCATTTATGTACTCTACCATATAGTTTATATGGAATTTTTCTAACAATCATACTTTACAAAAACACACTAAAACATAAATGAGAATATTCACTTAAGATAAAAATGACGAACTTATCAAGGTAATAATCGTTCTAGATAAAAGTTATCAAGTTAATTATGCATGAAAATAATGGCACAATGAAACATAGTAGAAAACCAGAATCATAATACTACAATTGTGAAAATTTAAATAAGCTTTATTTGGAACAATACCATCACTAACTAGGTGATTTTAAATTTATATATGTCTTTCATTATACATTTCAATGTACAATAGGTACATTATGTTATCATGACTTTGATAATATAATTGTTGTGTCATATTTATTTATAATTCTCCTTTTTCTCCTCTTTTCTCACTTCTGGTGAAAAGATCCAAACAATACATTTACCATATATATAATTATGTTTATAGTTTCATTCACTTCGGGGAATAGATTGTTTCATTCACTTCTGGGAATGAAAATGTCTCAAGTGCAATATCATTTTCATCTTTAATGGAGAATATACCAACTTATAATACAAATAATATGTTCCATAATATTGATATTGCAGGAGCGTATATGAATTAGCTTTTCCCTTTGATTCTTGGTAGAATAAGGTCTTTTGCGTACAATGGGTACGAGACAAATGCAATTTTCCATTACATTGGTAACATACAAAACCAATCTTCTTGTTACCATGTCCACTTCTTTCTTTGCCCTTGGATTCTTCAATTTCCACTTCTGGGGAATATATGGGCTCTTGGAACTTGCATTTTCTACATATCAATGTATGATTGATAAGAATAGGATAACACGGAGAACTGAGAAATTAACTCATCACTTATATTACTTTTCTTGTTAATCCAAATAGATCGACGTGATAAAATATCAATGGATATGAGAAGTAGCACCCATCTTAATATATTGGAATGAGATAATCTCAACACAAATAAGACAATACGATAAGAAAGGATCTAAGATTTACATACCTTGATCATATTGTGATCTTACTCCAATATCTTAGATTATGTCGAGAGTCTTTGAGGCTTGAGCAATGATAATTTTGGCAGAGCTTCGTGCTGATAACGTGTTATGAAACTAATGTAATATAAACAAATACAAGAGAAGATTAGAGAGGGAAAGACACAAAGAAGATAGGGGGAAGTGAGCTTTCTTATTCATCCTTCTCTTTTGATACAATGATGTGCTTTATTTATAGGCACACCTTAGTAACCACTACATTCTTATATTAATGAGAGATAATGAAACATAAAGAAGCTATCAAATGTAGGAATGAGGTTACATGTAACTCCCAAGTGAACATCTAATGTGGTAATGGCAATGATCATCCATATATCAATATTTACATAATAATTTTGAAATCCAATAAGCACATAAATTATTTATAAAATATAACTAATTGTAAAATAGCATAATTCAACATGATCGTTCAATCTCAAAATCCAAAATGTTACCTAGATCCCCGTGTTTTTAAAAACCCTATGATGCCTAAGTGGTTAGAATCTTACTTAGAAGTTAGTTGTTTTTAAGGGCCAAAAGGATGTTTGCACTCGATCAACTTGCCATTGTATGCATAATACTCTAGCGGAGTCGAAAATGTGAACAATGAGCTGATTTAAATTGTGATAATTATTGTAAAAAAAATCATGATAATTAGTAATGGGGTATTGTCTTACCAATTATTCTATAACCTAAATTCATTACAAATTTTACATATAATATCACCTATACTTCAAAAGTGAAGCGCTATAACCCCTATTGACTTCAACCTAGCTACCCAGGGTTCTTTACAAGTCCACATGACAAAAACCTGTTTATTTGGATTTCTATCGATTTACGTAACCGGTAATTTAGAAAGGGGATTTAGGGAGTGAGAATAGAAATTAGGGATTAGGAGAAGAATTGGGGATTTGGGGAAGAACGGCCGAGGCCTTTGAGGAAGAAAGACAAACGAGGTTGAGAGAGAACAGAATAGGGTTTTGGGAGATAATTGTTTTACTGATTTCTGCTTAATCGAAAGAATGACCCAAAGTACATATTTATAGCTAAAGAATGGAAAACCCTAATAGACTATCCTAATATGACTCAAAGTCTACTAACTATATCTAATAAAATCATAATATTAATAATAATGATAGACCTAGAAATTAGGTTTCTATCATCCCCTCCCCCTTGAGACCAACCTTGTCCTCAAGGTTGCAAGTCAACTTCCCTTTCTCGACCTTCCTCTTTCTTCGCTTCCAATTGCGCTTAGTCTCACGGTGGAATTCTTCTCCGACATCTTTAATGTCTCTTGACTTCTCTTCCACCTCGTGACACATGTCACGTTCCCCATTGCCAAACAATTCTTCCTCCTCTCTTTCGTAATCTATGAAATAAGAGTTGGATAATTGTTCTTCTTGGAGCTCCTTGTCACTAACCAGCTTGAAATCGTCAAGGAAGTACTCCACAAATTCCTTAACGGGCTTGGCGGTGAAAACAAGCTCTAGCTTTTGCCAACCTCCTCTTTCTTTATCTTTGACTTGGCCCATAATTGTTTGGGAGGCAGAGATGTGGCCCAGCCCAAGGTTAAATCCTACTGTGCTCCATTTGTCTCCCAACTTGATTGTGCATAACTCCTTTGAAAGCCCATCCGCCTTCATAAGAGCTCCCTCCACACCTGCCTTCTTCAAATCACAAGCAACATTGGGCTTAAGCACTTCCTGAAACGGCCCACTTTCCTCTAGTCTCTGCCCATTTCCAAACTCATTTGCAGACCAATTCACTTTCACTTCTGGCCAACTCTGCTGCTCTGTTCTCAGCCCACTAGACTGGTCCGCCCAGCCCATACTCTAGGCCTGCGTGACCTGCCTTCTCCTCCAACATAACTCGGCCCAGTCTGGCCGTTGGTAGCGATAGCCAGCCCAATGTTGGCGATTTAGGGTTCAGGAAGAGGGAGAACCAGCCGCCACAATCCTCCTCCGTCTTCTTCTCCCGCGTAGCGCCGCACGTCGCAGCCAGCTTCTTATGTTCCTCCATTGCCGGTACCCCCTTCTCCGGCGGCGATGGCTTCGCTAGGCGGTGGAGAGACGAACTCGACCCGACCACCATTGTCCTCGGATCCATCCTCCCAAACTCACCTCCCGTCGACTCCATCTTCCCTCTTTCCGACGGCGTTGCCACGAACGGCTTCCCATTAGATGTCGCTGCGAAGAGAGTCGTAGAGCTCGCCCTTGGCTTCGTCTTCATGTTAACCAGCCTTTGCAACTCGATTTCTGACGATGGCTGCTCCTCCATCTCCTTCAGCGACTTCCTCGGCGGCGAGGGCTTCTCCGACGGAAACTCCAGCCGGATTTTGACGTTTCTATCCCGTCGATTGACGCCGCGAACGGCTCCAAATCCGACGGCAGTTCCTTCAACTCCGCATCGTCCGACGTCATAGCCGCCTTCTTCCTTCGTTCGCGCGACTCACACTTCTCGCTCGAAGTGGCGGTAGAGACAAGGTCTCTTTCCCTTTTTGCCTCAACATCGAGGTTCCTCTGCTCCACGGCCACTCTCGCCGGCCACCACTGAATTTCCCCTGGCTTCTTCAATGTCGGCGTGATGGCCATGGAGAAGTCGTTGGGGCAATGGATTGCTGATGGTGGTGCCACTGCTGGCGCTACGGTGATTGGTGTTGCTGTCCCGACCTGATAGTTCGGCTGGTCGGTGGTGGCAGCTGAAGTCAGCGAGTCCAACAATCTTGCAAGGGTCGTGCAAAGTTGCTGGTGGTCGCCAGAGACTTTCACGGCTGGATCATCTTCTTCGGCTACAATTGGGGAAGTTATCCTTGGAACCCGGACGTTGAGATTGCATATTCCGAAGCCAGCACTATAGTGTGCAACATCGTAGAATTCCTCGAGTTCGATGTGCCTCTTGAAACGGATCCATCTATGGTCGTAACCCAATGGACGCTCGACCTTAATAATCAGCTCATTCAATGACGTTCTCTATACCTCTATGTGCTCTCTCTCAAACCCAGGCAAGAAGAAGGAGAAGCGAACGTGCCGACGATACTCCGTCCTAGTGATGCTTGGTTCGAGGTCTTCAAACACACGTTCGTCCCTGGTTGAGAGTTGTGACGAACTCAGATTCGTGAACCAGGCTCTGATACCAAATGATAGAAACCCGCTTATTTGAATTTCTATCGATTTACGTAACCGGTAATTTAGAAAGGAGATTTAGGAATTGAGATTAGAAATTAGGAGAAGAATTGGGGATTTGGGGAAGAACAGCCGAGGCCTTTGAGGAAGAAAAACAGACGAGGTTGAGAGAGAACAGAATAGGATTTTGGGAGATAATTGTTTTACTAATTTCTGCTTAATCGAAAGAATGACCCAAAATACAATATTTATAGCTAAAGAATGGAAACCCCTAATAGACTATCCTAATATGACTCAAATTCTACTAACTATATCTAATAAAATTCTAACATTAATAATAATGATAATTACGATAGTCCTAGAAATTAGGTTTATATCACCACATCCATATCTTAATTCTTAAACACTACTGATGCCCTCCTTTAGAAGTATTCACTTAATACTTTCAGATTGTTACCGTTAAAATCAAAACTTGTGCTCATTAACTCTTTAGTTCCCTTGCTCTCCACCTCTATATTACAGCAAGCACACTCTTAGCAGAAAACACACTGCAGTTTTCTGTTCAATATGTCTTCGTACATATATGATCTATGTACAGAACAAAGTGGTTAAAACCTTCCCCAATATACAACCGTACAGTTTGTGGTCATGTTCCGCTACTTGCCGCCATGAAGGCTCCTCTCTATCGGCGATCCTGGAACGAAAGGTGTGAAACCTCTCCCTCCGAACACAGGGCGCATAAAACCATCGTCGAATTTTCTCCAGTAGTAATGTACGGTATTAGTCGGCTTGGTCAGAAGCATGCGTAGACTCACTGGGCGCTGAATGTTATCAGTACTCGTCTCTGCTCCCGGATCTTGGCTGATCCCAAGAAGAGGTAGAGAAAGAGCTTTCGCATCATCTTCTAGCTCTGAACTCCTTGCCGTGTGGCCTGGTAGCAACCACCTAATAAGAGGCTTGGTTGCTAACCCGAACACCTGAAAAGTTAAACAAATCAGTGGGAGCTGTATGGCATGGTAAGTTGGTAATAACACTTTATGAGTTATCACACTATCTTTTCCAGTATGGCTTAACAATAAAAATGGGTGTGTTTGTTTCAGCTATAAAACAATTCGATTCAAATAACTTGACTAAAAAACTTGAAACAAATTTGTAATAGAGCAGTAAAATACGATCCGCAAACATGTCATATCATGTTCTTACCACAGTACTAAACAGAACAATTGTGATGGTGCTGGTGATCATAAACGCATTTCCTTGTAGCTGTGTGTATCCTGCCCTCGTGAACTGCAACGATGAACAATCACACACAAACTTGATTACAGGCAAGCCTCAACTTACTTAATGATGAAACTCAAGAAACCAATCAGCACGTAGGAGACAGCCACACATAACACTATGGAAACGCAAAGACCAAATGAGATCATTAGAACCTAGAGTAAACTAGTGCCATTTACAGTCCCAACAAATTCATATGACTGGGTCAAGTGACAGAGGGCATCAGCCTAGGACAATTGCTTCGACTAGCTAGATGAGTAGCTTCATCGTCCAGAAATTTTCACCTGGTTGTAAGCAAGTGCCATGGAAACAGCTCCTCTAATGAGTCCAGCCCACCATATGATAATCTGTAGAGAGAAGTTGACATATTAAGGGGAGACCAGAAGAAAAAGAAGATAAATAATTTTTGCAAGAAAAAAAATTACAGACCTGCTCCTTGAATTGAATTTTATCATTGTCAGACTTCTTAAACAAATTGGATATAAAGGAAAGAGGGAAGACAGAAGCTGCTCGCCCTAAAAGAACCATCCCAAGCATTACTGAGCTCACACCAGCTGATGTTGCCGGACTGCAAAATTCCAACTGAATGTTAAGCAGAAACAAAACACTATTCGTTTTAGGAAGAAGTAAAAGGAAGTGTTTTGTCAGGTTTAGAAAAAAAGTTGAGTTAATGAATGTTAGATATATGTTAGTAATGATAAGTCAAATGACTGATGGTACATAGTTTGTCTAATTATAAAGAGATGAGTGGATTTTGGAAAACAATTAATATGGCCATTAGTTAAGAATACATTTTCATTTCAAAGGCGCAAAGTGAAATTTCATTAATGATGTGGCTTTTAGCTTTTAATAATTTGTGGTTTTGGATGAATAGTTGTTCTAAAAAGTTAGATTCAAGAAGTGAGTTTGTTTTAACTTACAAGTTTTTTTTTTTTAAAGTTGCACAAAAAGTTCTCAAACAAACTTGAAAAATTAACTAAGTGGACTTGCTTAAAATCAAAAGACAGGAGGAGGATGGCTACTTGATAGAAATGATCAAATCATTGAACTCAATAGAGTCATACCTCTTGGCAACAATCCTCCACTTCTCGATATCCAAGGCATCCATACCGACATACAGGAATATAAAAATTTCTGATATGAATGACAATGCTGCAAAAGCATGCCTGCAGCAGCCACAAGCAGAAGAATTAGTAATACAAGTCTAAAACTATCAACTTGATATATAAGTAAAAATTAAGTTTAGGTTTCTGGAGAAAGTGTCAAAATGATCCAACGTACTTGGTAGTGACTCTTGAGCTTTCAGTCACATTATGCCACGTATAGTGTGACATTACAATTCCACAGAAGAACACAGTGAGGATGCCACTTAGATCAAACAACTGGAAGGAAAACAAGGTGATACCATTATTAGAGAATTAGCTAACTAAAATTTGCAAGCAGAGAACTTAAGATGATTTACAAAATATAAAAAGAAGTTGATAGTTCAAAGCTATATTACTTCAGCCATAACATATGAAAGATATGCCATGAGCATCATCAGAGAAACTTCACGATCAGTAGAATGCCTGAAATTCCACAAAAGAGATGTCAAGTTATTGTACAATGAGATCTTGTGCAACAGAAAAAGTCTAATTTCCCGGTTTAAAGTGTGTAATGCTTGAAATTCTTGTGAGCATACCAACTTAACCACGAGTAAGATAATTACTAAAACCAAACAAAAAGCCTCTGCTCAACCATCCTAGAACACCCGTGGTTGAATCTATGCCGGTTAAATATATGTGGACATTAAAGGATCAGCAAACAAAAACATGCATGTTCCTTTTCATGGCATCAGAGAATTATAAGAATCGGTAACTTGGAGGTTTTACGGGAAGAAAACAGTCAGCATCCAGAATTTAGACAAGGTAGGTTTAGGTGATTGAAGCTTGAATAATAATCACATAATTAGAAGAGTATTGTGGCGGGACCATGTCTTGCACCAAGTCTCACATACCTGCCAAAGTAAAGCTTCTTTATGATGTAAGCACTCAGTAACCCAATCTGCAAGATAAGCCAAGTAAAGACAAGTTACACAGAATTATCAAAAACAAGTTTAGAAAGCCAGGCAGATTGTCAAAAGAGGCTTGAAAGAACTCACAGCAATGCCGAGCAAGGTACTTGTGAAAAACAAATATAAAAAGCTGCCAAGCAACTGTAAAGCTATGCTTGAGGTAATGTGGGAGAGGTCAAAGCGCTGGATCGCATTGAAAAGAACAACAGATGTGGCATCATTGACCACCCCTTCCCCGAACACTAAACTGTACAGTAAAGGTGTGTCTTCCTGACTGAGCACCTGTCATATAGAAGATTAATCATTTTCCAGTTTTCATCCACTAGTTATTTTTCTATCAAGAGAAAAGCAGAGTACCCCCATACCTGTAAGGTGCAAACGCTGTCTGTTGCTGAAAAAATTGCTCCCAGAGCTACAGATGTATGAACCACCACAGGAACAATTAAAGAAAACGTAAACATGAGACTTCAAATAGCAATGTTCATATTTTAATTCTGTCCATGGCAAATATATACTAAGGAAATCCTTAAGTTTTGAAACTTGTATGATAGAGAAATCCTATCCGAAGAGCCACAGGATCCTTGCAGACACTATAGCTTATTGACTATCATTAAGAGAACAGGGAATGGTTCCTAATGCATCAAACTAATATTCTAAAGCATAGCCTCATGCCAACAAGCATATAGGTCCATTAGAGAACAACAAATTTGTAATATATTAGACCAATGGATGAAAAACATACCTAGAAAGTCCATTGTGTCCAAGAAATCAATGCCCAGTATACTAAATAACTTCCTTGATCCTGAATCAGCAAAAACAATTGATCTCAGAAAATATTGCAGCTCGTCTCAAATTTAGTAAGGACTAAGGAGGGTTCAATTACATGAAAATCTCAGCAAACAGAAAACCCACTTCTTGCTTGCATAAACTTATTTTCTTATTTTTGCAAAACAACAAACATCTAAAGTCCTGATTGAATATTTGAAGCATCAGAAAGTTTGACATGTTCACTAATAATCAGGGTCGTCCGGAAAGTATTGTTATGCAGACTGTTGTGTAATTCTGCATTGAAGTTATCAAGACAATCCCGAGTACAAAATAACCATGCTGGAGTGGCATACCAAGGAATATGATGACAAATGATATCAAAGTCCCAACAGCACCGAACAATGTGATTGTCATAAAGTTGCGGAAGAACTGTTTCTTTTTCACCTGGAACCTGATGCACAGAAAGGTTCACTCCATCAAACCCATGAACCAGCTCGATTGATTGAAAAGAAGGAGGATTTGATTTGTAACCAACCCAGCATTGAATATGATGGGAGGAAGAAGATAGATGAAGAAAATCTCTTCATCGAAAATCAAAATGCGCGAGCTTTTTCCCCCAGTTGTCACAAGGATAAGAATTCCAGTAACGACACCCTGCAAAGATAAAGCCCAAACGCAACATTAAACACCCACTACAACCAGCAAAGCATCGAAACACAAAAACAAGGAAACCACAAGTAACTCACAATCACAAGAGCAGTGATGGACTCATTCATCCACCGGCTCTTCTCGAGAAGATGACCAATCAGAATGCAAGTGAGGAGGAGCGCCACGAACAATGTAATGGAATGAACAGGCGCTGCATCCGGTTCCCCAATCGAACCCCCCAATCCGCCAAACGGTAAGCTCCAATTGAACCCCATCTCCCAGTCAGGCCAAAAGCTCACCACCAGTCTATGTCCACCCTAGAATTCCAATGCATCCACACAGTACCATAATTCAGATATATCGTAGGCAGAACATGATTTTGACACCTCAGATCCCGGAATTGAAAAAACAAACAAACATCAATTTCCCCTCGGAGAAAGACTACGAAACACAGACTAGAAGAGAAGCAAGCAAATTGAGGCAGCACGACAACGGTCCACGAGACAGGTGAACACTGATTTCGTACTGAAAACTCGATGAAAAGCGAATTAAGCAAGTAACGGAGCCGGCTAATTCAAGCCACAAGATATATCCGAAATTCAGCTCACAGAGACCAGATTTCACCCTTAGGTTTTCATTTCACCGAATTTCAGCCGCGCAACGCAAACTCAGGCCAAAGTTAGAAAAGTAGAATACGTAGCTTGGAAGGCAGGCAGGCAGCAGAGATGAGCGTCACAGCAGAAAGGAACAAAGAAAATCTTAAACCCTAAGGAATTATATCCATCTCCGTCGTGTGGTCAACCGAACGGAAGACCACGAAGAGAACAAGTCGAGTTGCTAACCTGAATCACTACCACTGCATCTCTCAGCCCGCTGGAAGCGGCGGAGGTAAGAGTTTCAAAATGGATGAGAGAAGTGTAGTAGCTGGTTCTGGATTGGGAAAGTTTGCGGTGGCGGAGGAGAATCGCAGGGAAAGTCTTTTGGGAAGGAAGAAGAAGACGCTGCCGTGTGGAAGAGGGAGCTGTACAGATCGTCGGAAGGGGAAGGGAACTTTTATTTTCAGCAATATTTTTAAAAGTGAGCAGGGAGGCAGGAAGGGTCGCGGGGGACTAGCGGAACTTTCAAGTTAAAGAATAACGTGAACTGGGAGGACCCATTCCAAATAGGAGTTGCGCAGTGTTTTGTACTTTTCTTCTGTTGAGATTTTTTAAAATATATGGTGGTGTGGTCAGACTTTTAGACGTTTTCAGCTCTTCGTCGGGGGAAAGAAGAACACACAACCAATGTTCCGTCGTTTGTAGTTTTCCTAATATTTCTTTTCCTTTTTTTGTTTTTGTTGCGGTTTCGTGGTTAGTAGATATAAATATCTCAAGAGATGTTTTCACTCTCATCGCCTCAAGATATTTGACTCACGTGATAGTGAAAGGTGATTCAGAAGTGGTAGTCAATCAGATTCGACAAGGTGATAGAAACCCGTTCTCCGGGATCTATCGAATAAAGGGAAAGGGGATGGAAATGGGAAAAGGAGCCTTGGTTGGCTCCTGGTGGTGGTCGTGTGCTAGGGAAGGGAAGGGAGAAGTGTTGGGACGAGAGGAAGAAGAAGGGGAAAGGAGGGAGTTGGCGGCAGTGGGCTGCGAGAAGGGAGAGGGGGAATTGGAAGGGTCGGCAGAGAGGAGGAAAAGAGAGAGAGGAAGTGGAATAATAGGTTTAGGGTTTAATCTGTTTGCTAATCTCATTCAACGTAGAAAAATAGTTTAAATAACAATTCCTAATTACCGATGACTACCCCAACTTATTAAACCCCCAATTAAATCCCCCAAGTACCCATAAATTCGTAAACAATCATAAACTAGCAAATAAGTCCAAATGCTAAATAAATCGAAATGCAGGTTTCTATCATCCCCGCCTCCTTCGAATCAACCTTGTCCTCAAGGTTGCCAGTCCTCCACCCGATCTTCGCCCCTGCCTTCCGCCGCATCTTCCTCTGCCTCATCCTCCCATCGTCCCACCAGCATCATCAAGTCCGGCTTTGCACACTTATGCCCAATGGTGAACCGCTCATCACAATTGAAGCACTTGCCTTCCCTTCTCTTCTGATCGATCTCCGCTAAGCTTAGCCTGACGAAGCCTTTAGGCAGAGTCCTCGGCCCAAGCCATGCTGCCGGGGCCACTGCTCCCGGTGGCGCGCTAGCCCCGCCACTAACAGTAATGGTGGTGCTGCCATTCCCGCTACTCCCTACACCGGCGTGGCCTCCTCCTCCAGACTTGGGGTAACGCCCTATGACGTTTCTCCAGCTTGCCAACTCCTCCTCCTTATGCCCTGCAAGACGAAAAACAGCCCGCAAGGTATCCGACTCAAAAATCTTGACTGCCGCAGCAATCTCGGGTTTTAGACCTGCCATGCACATTCCCACCAGGATCTCTTCTGGAACTCCCTTACACTAATATGGGATATCACAAGAAAGTAATTTACTAACATCTTAGATAATCTTATATACAATGCATACAGTAATATGCTATAGAATCATAAACATAGAAATATAAACATCCATGGAAAGCATAAATATCTAAATACTCAAGCAACGATAGATGTCTTAAGGTATCTAATGCTTAAACCTTTAAAGAATTCAGAACAAGCTAAAATCTTGGCTAATAAAATTGGCGAAGCGCTTCCTTCTATTGTGAGTGTGAACCAAACTGCTTTTATTAAAGGAAGACAAATTGTTGATAATATCATGCTAGCTCAAGAGTTAGCAAGGGGTTACCAGGAAGAATGCTTTCATCGAGATGTGTGATTAAAATTTACCTGATGAAGACATTTGACTCAGTGCATCGGAATGATTACTTGTTTAAGGTAATGGAAGCCATGGTTTCCTTATTCAATTAGATAAAGGATTGTTTATAGACAACTCACTTTCGTATATGTGTGAATGGGCGTTAAAGGAATTCTTCAAAGCAGTTGAAGGGTGTTAGACAGGGTGATCTAATTTCATCACCAACTATTTACCATTGTTATGGAGGGCTTGGCAGGAATGCTTCACAAGGCTTCCTCTGATGGGATTTTCCATATCATTAAATGTGTAGTAAAGTTCATTTAAATATTTTTGTTTCGCTAATGATCTACTCATTTTCACCGTTGGTTCAACACAAGCAAATACATCAGCCAAAAGAGGTTTAGAAGATTTCTACTTAATTCAAGGGCTCAGATGCAACCCTCCTAGAGGTGGCAAATGGATCGATCCATGGATTCGTGGATTGGTGGATTCATGGATCAAATGGATTGGATCCAATAGATTAGTGGATTCATGGATTGGATCAAGTGGATTGGTGGATTATCCATGAATCCAAATGACATCCTCAACCTTGGACCAATATGTAAAATGTGAAAAGTTTAGGTACTAAAATGTCGTAATGAAAATTTTAGGTCCCAAAACGTAATTTGCCATTTTGGATCCATGGATTGATCAATGAATCCACCAATCCAATTGGATTTGGATTAAAATGGATTGGATTAGGTGGATATTTTTAATGGGTTGGTGGATTGGATTGGTGGATTGGATTGAGAATTGCCACCTCTAAACCCTCCTAAGTGCGAATTTTATTTTGGGGGTGATTCTATTAATTATAAGTAGAATGTGATTGCTTTGACGGGATTAACAGAGGGTACTCTGCCAGTACATTATCTGGGGCTCCCTATCATGACATGGAAACTTACAGAAAATGAATGTTAAGTGCTGATAGCTAAGATAACAAAGAGAATCCAGTCATGGAAAAGTAAAAAAGCTCACATATGAAGGAAGATTGCAGCTAATCTTCTGGGATAATGGGAGTAGTACAAAACTGGTTGCAAGTTTTCAACCTCCCAAAGAAAATCTTTGAAGCAAGTGCAAAAAATATGTGCATATTTTTTAGGATTAATTACATGGTTGGTCACTGAGACTACTAAAAACATTCGGATTTGGTCACTAAAAATATTTAATTTCGTTCGTGGTCACTAAAATTAATCAAATGGTTCAAGTTTGGTCACTCTCCGTTACCTTCCGTCAACCTCCATTAACGTCGTCAGTTTTTTGCTGACGTGGCTAACAGAAGTACCTAATAAGCTAATTTTAACCCACAAAAATAAAATCTGGCCCGCCACCTCATTAAAATCAGCCACATAAGAAACCAACCCAATCCAACCCAACCCTTGACGCGACCCTTTCTCTTCTTTCTCTTGTTGATCCAACTGGAAAAAATCCCTCTTCTCTCAAATCCCAAATCAGATCGCAAACATACATCGGTCGTCTTCCCAAAAACACTACTCCACGCCAGCCAACGATGGCGTCTGCCATCCGACCGTGTCCCGGACGTCGGTCTTCTTCATAGCTTTATATAGCGTTGAGAACGGTGGATCAAGCCCTGCGTATTGTCGTTCAGAAGAATAGTTGCCATGGTTTTACCCGAAACTTCCCCAATCGTCGTTCTCTTCTTGTTTTCGACAGTGGAGGCGGAGGAAGAGGGACAAGGACGGCTGGAGTCGGAGGGAGAAGGATAGTCGAGGAGACCGCCACCAATTCTACCTCCAATTATGCCTTGGGATGACCGAGATTCGAGTACTTCGCCGCCCGTCGATGTGAGATTCGAGTTCTTGGTCGAGCCCCAAGTTTGCTTATGTCATGCTTGATATCTGATTCGAGTTCTTCCTATCTCTCTCTCTCTTCGTCTTCTTCTATTCCCCTCTCCTGATTCCTTTCTCTTTCCCTCTGGATTCCGATCTTCTTCTAATGCCCATCTTCCCTCTTCTTCTTCGTATATAACCCACCCCATAGCCAAGAAAGGAAAAAATTGAAATGAGATGGATTTTCCCAATCAAAGGAAGCAGGGAAGGGGGTTTAGGCGGAGTGGGCGGCGAGAAGTTGAAGGGTCGAGTTAAGTTACTGTAATTGGGATATTGGTATTAGTAAAAGGTTAGGCGTAGCAGTTTCGACGTTGTATTGGATGGCGGCGAGATCGGTTTTGTGGCAAGGCAAAGCGGAGTGACGATAGAGGATGAATAGTGTTTGTGAAGATAGATTGGTTTGGTTAATTTGTATAATTATTAATTGAGATATTTTTTAGGTCGGGTGGGTCAAGAAAGAAAGGTTGGGTCATGGGTTGAGTGGGACAATCTAACATGGCGGGTTTTTAATGAGGTGGCAGGTTGTGTTAAATTTAAAAAAAAAAATATGAGTAGACACTTCTGTTAGCCACGTCAGCAAAAAAACTGACGGCATTAACGGAGGTTGACGGAAGGTAACGAAGAGTGACCAAACTTGAACCGTTTGATTAATTTTAGTGACCACGAACGGAATTAAATATTTTTAGTGACCGAACCCGAACGTTTTTAGTAATCTCAGTGACCAACCATGTAATTAACCCATATTTTTTATGGCACGAAGGGGAGTCTGGCAACAAGGCTAAAGTGTCACATGAAAGGATTACTAGACCGAAGAAGGAAGGAGGTCTAGCCTAGTATTGGCAAAAATATTCACAACCGTGGATACCCGCACCAATCCGGTCCAATCGGGTAGGATAAAATCCGAACGCGAAGGAAATTTAGTGGGTATGGGTAAAAACCGAACCCGAATAGTGCGGGTAATGGGTGGGCATGAGTTTCTCACTATCCAACCCGAACCCGCCCGATTATACACATGCATATGTAATTTGTCTAGAAATAATAATTATTTTTTTCTAGCATATTTTATATTTAGCATATAAATATAATATTTTTATGAAATTGTATTGATTTAATTAATTTTCTTCATTCATGGATAACCGTGAATATCCGAAACCCAAACGGGTATGAGCATGGTTTTGATTTTCTACCCGTTTCACATGTGAGTAATGAGTAAAACCCGAACTGTTTTGGGTAGGGTAAACGATATGCACTAATCCGCCCCTGACCCGACCCATTCCCATCCCTAGGTCTAGGGTTGCAAGATATATGGTTTCTTGGACTCGAGCATGTTCACGTTGAATGTGGTGGCTCCTAATGACGCAGCCAGGAGCTCTTTGGATTGCTTGGACACTAGCGTACCACTGTAAGCAAGAGGATGTGTCGACTATTCGAATTATTTCAAATAGTTCTTTGGCAATGATTGCTCCATCTTTTTGTATCAGATTAAGTATCGTGCTTTGATATCCGTTTGATAAGCTACACAGATCATGTGATTCAACGAATAATATTAAATAAAATATACAATTAATCCATGAAATGTTTTCTAATATAATTTATATAGAAATTAGAGCCAAAATTTTCAAAATTTAGCAAGATGTCATCCAATAAAATAAAAATCAAACGACCAGAGGGTAGGTGTTAAACAAATTTGAAGCATGAGTAATCATGTTGTGGATGTTGGGAGTTTTAGGGACGAGGGTATACGTACGATAGCCCGAGACCGGGTGACCAGGATTGTGATAGAGTCGTGAACAACGTTCACTTTCCAAAAAGAATATTTCCACCCTCAACAAGCCTAGAGTTACAGGAAATTTCTCCCGATGATAAAACTATCACCACTTTAGGTTCCAGGCTCAAGAACACTAAAGCATACTTGGAAATTTTTGGAAGAAAGAAGAAGAATATGTTTGATGGTATGTCTCATCATCCACCCCACACATATTTATAGGGGCCGAATCCATGCATTGTTTCATGAAAGGTTGCCTTCATCCATACAAAAGGTTGCCTTTATCCATATGAAAGGTTGCCTCTATCCATATGAAAGGTTATCCTTATCCATATGAAGGGTTGCCTCTATCCATAAGGTTATCCTTATCCATAAAATAATGCAACCGCCACTAGGCCAAAGGGATGTGTCCCTTCACGGAATTAGAATATCGGTTCGGTAGGTCTAATCCCAAACCGGTTGGTCGGTCCAACCCAAAACCAGTTTGACTTGGTTAGTCCGGTTCAACCAAATTTCCAACATTCCTCCCCCATTTTGGTGTATTATAGAATTCACTAAAATCACAACATTCTTCCAACAAAACTTAAGCATAAATGAAAATGTCGTGACGATTGAATTTTCACCTTAGTATATTACACTTGACGAATACTCGAATACAAAGGGTGTCGAGTAACGATTGAACCCATTGACTCATATGAATATTCGAAGATAATATACACTTAAGTTTTCAAAACTTCTAAGTGCCTTGACCCTATTATCCGCCATGTGTCCAATCCTTCTCATAAGCGCACACGAAACCAAAGTCCGGGTTTCTTGAAGCGGCTACACTTCATGCTTACGTAGGTCGAATCTTTTATTCGTGTACCCGCATAATACACTTTTTCAAAGATTCAATTAAGAAGTTTTGAACTTCATCCTCTTCTCTCATGCAGATAACAAGCACATACCTCGGAATTACAAATTTTGTGCTTCAATTTCTGATAATAAGCTTTCCACATTGAATTCAGCCTCTAACGTTGTATTAGAGGGGAATTGGTTGTCCCA